GGAGCTGCCGGGAACCCCGGGAATGGTGTGGAGATTCCTGGGAGCCCTGCCCCCACCTGCAACCGCAGTGCAGCAGGCGCCAAGTTCTCCAGCACATTGGGACAGTGTGACCCTGGGCTCTGGTGAGTGGCAGGTGGGGCCTTGGGACCTACCAGCAGTGAGGGAGTTAACACAGCAGCTGGCTTCTCTAGGGAAGGAAAACTCCCTTCAGACACTTTGGTGCCTGGCCTCCTGCCAGGAACAAGCAGGAGCTGAAAACTGAAAGTTGAGGCATAAGTTTGGCCACTCTGTAGTGTGTACCTGGGGAGGGCAGCAGCTCGCCACAGCTGCCAGCTGCCAGCCGTCTACCCATTCACCTGGCAGCCCGCTTTTCAGACCTGCCTGTCCACCCATCTATAAGCCCATCTCTGTCCCATTGTCTATCTGACCATCTTTCTCTTACTGTCCTCTCTGTCCAGCAATCTGGCCTGTCTGTCGATCCATCTTCTTGTCTATCTGTGGCCCCACCTATTTGTCCATCTGTCCAATTACCTTTGATTCTATCTGTGCATCTTCTTGTCCATCCATCTGCCCACCCGTCTGTCCCTGTGTCTGCCCACCGGCCTCCCCTCTTCTCCTGGGCCACAGAGCCATGGCCCAGGGCTGTGGGTCCTTGGTCAGCCTGGTGCTGCTGGGGTTGGGGCTGGGGCTGGCTGTCACTGTGCTGGCTGTGGTCCTCTCTCGCCACCAGACTCCCTGTGGCCCCCAGGCCTTTGCCCACGCTACTGTTGCTGCTGACTCCAAGGTCTGCTCAAATATTGGACTGTGAGTGAGACGTGGGAGGAAGCTGGGTGGCCTTTGGCAGCCAGCCCCTCCTGGAGAAGGCATGTGTGTTTGAGTGTGTGGGCGTGCGTGTGTGATTGCGTGTGTGAGTGTGTATGTATGTGTGTGAGTGGGGGGTGTGGGGGTGTGTGAATGTGTGTGATTGTGTTTAGGTGTGTGTGGGTGTGTGTGATTGTGTTTGTGTGTGTGTGGGTGTGTGTGATTGTGTTTGTGTATGTGTGTGTGGGTGTATGTGTGAGAGTGAGTGCAGGGGGTGTGCGTGTGTGAATGTGTGTGATTGTGTTTGGGTGTGTGGGTGTGAGGGTGAGTGTGACTGTGTGTGTGTGGGAGGGGTGTGGGTGTGTGTGAATGTGTGTGATTGTGGGTATGTGTGAGTATGTGTGGGTGTGTGAGTGCATGTGTGTGTGTGGGTGTATGTATGTGTGCGTGTGCGTGTGTGTGTGTGTGCACGTGCACTGGCCCAGGAAGCAGGAGCCGTGTGTGTGTGGGCTTCAGCACCTGCAGGGCTTGGGCACAAGGAGGCAGCCTCAGGGCCCTTGCACAGAACAGGTGGCAGGGTGTGCCCATGGGGCAGATGGTGATTTAGGGACAGTCATGTGTGAGTACATACCTGGCTCCAGGATTCAGGAGACCCATTTGCACATCCCAGGTGGGGCCAGTACAGGCCCCTTCAGTGAGGCCAATTCTCCAAGGCTGGGGTCTTCTCCCAGGGTCATAGGTGAAGGGCTTCAGAGGCTCCCTGTGTGGGTACTGGCCTGCTGGGGTACACACAATGCTGCCACAGCCAGTCTGCCCCAGCTCCCAGCTGGGGGCCACATCTCGGGTTTCTCTGTCCTGGGGAGCCTGGTGCCCCACCCCTCACATCCTCTCTCCCTGAGTCAGGGCCTGGGTCTCGTGAGCTGAGCGACTGATACTTGGTGTCCGGGATGAGGGTGTGGTGGAGAGGGGCCACGGCGGGTGTTCCCTGACCCTCTTCCAGGAAACCCAGCCCAAGGGAGGCCTCCGCTGCTGCCACTGCAGAGAGGACACACACAGGACGCCCCTTCCTGCCCCCTGCCTCCCATTGGGCCCACAAAAGCCGGGGCAAACCTCCCCTCCCTGCCAACCACCTGGTCTGCTTCCCAGAAGTTCTGTCTTGCAGTCCGTTGGGAGGATCCCAGTGCTTTGTAAACTAAAGCAAGGGAGGCGTGGCCGTTCTCTCTCTTTGTTCATTCATTCACCTTTTGAGTCATTCCTTCCTCCCTCCATTCCCCCATCTGTCCATCCTTCCCTGCCCTGATTGCTCATGCCACCCCCCAGCCCCTCCTGACCTGGTCCTTTGGTTTCTCTTCATGGCTTTCTGTCTCCTCCCACAGGGCTGAGAATGGCAGCTCAGGGACAAGTAGAGCCTGGTGACTGCTTGG